TTCTACTACATATATGTCCAGAATCTGACTATCCCTCTCTACATCCTCTTTTTCCACACTGATTCAAGCCGCAGAATAAAAGAAAAGCATTAAAAATCTAAGTCATGTAGAGTACATTTACAACAAAAAATTAATTACAAAACCAAGAAGGGATGGGAGTGGTGGTGAATGAAGACTGGAGGTCACAAGTGGTGGTGAGGTCAGGGGTAGAAGGCCATAGACACTTTGGTGGTGCAGGGCCAGTGATTTTGACATTAATGAAAACCATTTTCTAACACTGTTATAACCACTTTTCCTAAATTACAATCATTTTTTAAAATAATCAATGTCAGGTAATGTTACTTCTCTGCTCAAGACTTACAATGTTCCCCTTTCATCTAGAGTATAAGCCAAAGCCCTAATACGGTTTACAGCGCCCTGCCTTATCTGGGACCCTGGTTTCTCTCTGACCTTCTTACCTACTATTATTTTCCTTCCTAAATATTCACCAGACACTCTAATCCCACACTGTTCTTCAAACCCAGTATTTTTTCGCCCCCACAGGAATTGGCAGGTTGTTCTCTATACGCAGAAAGAACTTATATGGATAATTGCCTTACCTCCTGTGGTTGTAGCTTCAAATATTGTCACTTAACGAAGCAATCTGAAAATTCTATTCACAATTATAAATCAGCTGCCACTACATTCTTCAAACTTCCTTTACCTTGTCTGTGTTTTCATTGTATAACTTTTTGGTATTACTTTTTTTGGTATCACAATGTAATGTGCTGTATATGCTACTTCCTCATTTTACTGTTTATTATTTATTTTCTGTTTCAGTCTATATACTGTAAGCTTTGTACAGGCAGGGATTACTTTAACAGGCAGGGATCCTTGTCTGTTTAGCTTAGCTTAAAAAGAGACTTACACAGAAGCTCAATAAGTCATCGAACAAATATATGTTGAACAAACATCTATCAGTAATTAAGTCATTCACTGTTGGATATTGACCTTGAGTGTTTTAGGCTTCATCAGTGAATTGCCCTTCCCCCCAGAAATTTACAGTGCTCTTGCAAGCACACCTAATCCCTTGAATTTATCTTTAATCTTTCCTTTGTGTTTTTCCTCTCATTGTTACATTCCCTAGTCAGTCTTGGTTACTTATAAGTCAAAAGTTCTAGTGATTCTGGACTTTGTATTTGTAGTGAATTACTTGCTTTTCTATTTCCCCTATAGCCTTTTCATACTTTACCATAGAGCAATGTTCTTTGCTTAAACACAGAGAGACAATTAATGTTATGCTAGTAATATTTGTGAGTTGATTGACTCTGAACTATATCTACTCCGAGACATCTATCCGTGTAATCCCATCAATGGCCAAGACCCAGAGACTATAAAACCCAGCTCCCAGAAGAGAACAGTGCAGTCTCCTGCCTCTGCACCTGGCTGTCCTTACTGGGGCCCCTTGGAGGAAGGCGGGTTGAGTCTCCCTCCACCTCAAGCAGAGCCCCAGCAGCTGAAGACCAGTTCCAGCCACAGTCATGATTAAGACCACTCTCCACATGTTCAGATGAGCCTCATGCATGAAGGAACCAGCAGAGGAACCCAGGTGTGCAGGACCCAGGGCTTAGATCTCCAAGCCTGCTCAGATCGGGACTGGGCCTCCTCCACCCAGATCCCCCATCTTCCAGTATGTAGGTATTACACCCACCAACTGCCCCCAGTGCCATGTAATCCCATCAATGGCCAAAACCCAGAGACTATAAAACCCAGCTCCCGGGAGCTAGGTTTTATATCTTATTATCTAGTTCTTACTCTGGAAAACCTGGCAGGCTACCAAAAGTATCCTGCCCACATGGCAGAGTCTGGCAAACTCCCCGCAGCATATTCAATATGCCAAAAACCAGTAACAATGATGGGTCTTATTCTCCTGACCCTGAAAAAGCTTCATCTCAAGGCTAGGACGAAGGAGACATTACTGGTGCTGCTCGAGGAAATCGATGAACAGGATGACAGTGATACAGTGATATAGGCATCTGTCATAATTACATGACTCAGGCTTCAACTGCCATAGCTCCTAATACCCCACAAAGAGAGGTCCCACCATGGGATGGACTGGACTGAGATGGACTGGGGCAAGTGGTAAGTCAACTCCTGCATTGAAATGGGACAATCTAGAAAGCATAAAAGCACGGTCTTGATGCAAGCTGTTATGAAGTAAGAGATAGGACCCCCATGGGGAAGGACAAGTCAAGCTGAACTGACCTGAGGACTTTGTCTGGGAGTTACAGTAAAACTGTTTTCAGAGCCCAGAAAACAGTTTTGGAATCTGTATCTCTTACTGTGTTTATCCAAATAACTACAAGTATTGCAATAAGGAGTGAAGTTAATTGTTTGAGTAAAGTTAGTATGTACAACTTAAAGGAAAGAAAAAAGCAATATAAATGTTCCAGGGAGACAGAGTGTCTCCTTGAGTTACTCCCTCAAGAGAATTGCCTCTGTTGAAACACTTTACCTTTATCATTTACCTCTGTAAATGATCAATTACACCAATGTGCAGTCCTATACCTTGATCCCCCTCAGATGTTCTTTAAGTATGCTAAGAGCTCTGCATTAAACAGGCCATTTTGACCTTTAGCCTATGGTCTCCAGTCTGGGGAGACCTGAGGAGGTGGTTCTTGGCCACCGAATGCACACGTTGTGCACCGAGACTTTGAACTCACAATCCACTGCTGTTTGAGACTATCTAAGAAAATTAATCTGCCAGACTTAATTTTCGATTATTTTTCAGTGTTGTGTGGATTTAAACAAAATGTATCTTTCTGGAGAAATTTGTTTTCATTAATTAAGACTGTTCATATAAAATAATTGGGGTGTGGGGTTGGGCCATACTCCGTGGTGCTCAGGGTTTATTCTCAGCTTTGTGCTCAGGGATCACTTCTGGGGGCCACTCAGAGGACTTTATTGGGATGTCAGGAATTGATTCTGAGTCAGCCACATGGGAGGCTATACAGATAAGTACCTTATCTGCTGTACTATTTTGCCGGCCCTAATATAATTTTTAAATTCAATTTTGTCTATCAAAATTGTACAAAACTAATACAGTATACAAACTAATAAGCTAGCAATAATTCCAGTTGATAATTCATATCAATAATGCACATACAGATTAATAGCTTCTCTGAAGTATGGTAAAGATCCTTTCTCTGGAAAGAACATATCGCAGATATTTTTTCAGATAAGTGCTGAGTAGGAAGTGGCTATAGTGACAATAAAATTCTACTACTAATTTGTGGAATACCTATATATAAGTGGAGAAAGAAATCAGGCATCCAAAGTTAAATGATATAACATTTGGCTTGGCAGCCTAAAAAAATATGGTAGTCCTTCAAATTAGTATATTTATTAAAGGCATTCATCAGTTTTATTGTTTATAAATTACAACTAAATTAGAAAATGTAAGTTTAAAATTTAAAATTCCTACCCATTTTCCATAATTACCACATCATGTTTGATGGGGCTCAGACAGTAGGCAACAAATCATAGAGAGAAATATATATACATATATATATATATATATATATATATATACACACACACATATATATATGCCTCTCGGAGATCCTGGCAAGCTACTGAGAATATCCCACCCGCACAGGCAGAACCTGGCAAGCTCTCCATGGTGTATTCGATATGCCAAAACCAGTAACTGTAACAGGTCTCATTCCCCTGACCCTGAAAGAGCCTCCAATGGTTGAGAAAGACGAGTAAGGAGAGGGTGCTAAAATCTCAGGGCTGGGACAAATAGAGACGTTACTGGCGCCCACTCGAGTAATTCGATGAACAATAGGATGACAGTGATACAGTGATATAGTAAAATTTAAAATATGTCCCATTATCAAGAATAGATAAAATGATGTAAAAAAGCATTTCTTCTTTTAAAAGCTAAATGAAACACTGATTCTCCTAAAGAAACACTGCTCTTAGTATGCTGAAAAGTTGTTGTAATCATAACATTTATAAAGGTTATCTTTATTTGAAAACAAGCCTAAACTCAAATAGAGATGTTCTAGAATCATGAACACAAACGACACTAAATAAATGTCTAGACTGTCAGGTCCTGCTTGCAAATTGCACAGCGGGTAGGGCGTTAGCCTTACAAGCGGCCAACATGGCCGACCCGAGTTCGATTCCTCCGCCCCTCTCGGAGAGCCCGGCAAGCTACCGAGAGTATTCGATATGCCAGACACAGTAACAACAAAGTCTCCAATGGAGACGTTACTGGGCCCGCTCGAGCAAATCGACGATCAACGGGAGGGCCTTTACTTTACTTACTTTACTTAAAAGATCAAAGCTGGAATAATAATTTTAGAGAACACCTAGACCAAATATAGCATTTAACAAATTAGGAAATTAAAACTTTACAAATGAGAAAACTAAGTATCTGAGAGACTGAATAATTTTTGCAAGTTGAAAAGACTATATGGTGATACACTTCAGTTTCCAGGATAAATGATATTGAATTTTGTCCTTAAAGAAGACATTTAACACGGCAGCCCCTAGGAGCTTTGAGGCTATTGCCCACTGAGGTAAGCTGTAGTAAAGAAAATGCAAGTTCATGGGTACTGACGGGCGAAGTTGTTTTATTATATGGTGATTTTTGTCAGACACAATAGGGTCACTGGAGGATGACTGAATTATTTAGCTTGAGCTGTAAATTTTTTAATTTAAAATAATAAAATTAGAGAATTAAGGCCATGATTTGTTTGCAAAGACTAGTCACATCTTATTGGGAAAGAATACTCTCCAATTTGAGTAGTTTGAGGGACACAGAAAACTCTTCAAGATCATATGCTGAAACCATTAGTCAAAAAGAACCACGCTCTTCATAGCAGGTATCATAATGATTTTGATATTAATGCATGATATATAATTGGGTCTGGATGTCTATATACAGTACATACTGACCTGTTTAGACTTGATATGAGGAATTAAGACAGATTTTAAAAACTAAAGCTTACTTGGTGGAAGAGGCTCATCGATTGTTGGGTAGTGATGATGTTCAGGCCTCAAGGAAGGAAGCTGGCTTACTGGCTGGGAATTATGGAGTGTAATACATTCACCTATGAACAAGATAGTCAAGACATTCAGATTCATTCTTTTCTGTGGCAATGGCATTTAAAACAAAAAAGCTTGAATGCAAAACTATAAGAAACAACCTTCAAAGTATGGCAATCTATTCTTTGTGTCAGTTCACTATATTCATAATCATTTATGAGGGAGAAAACAGAGGAAATTATTTTAAAACCACAGACTAATATGTAGGATTAAAATCTGATTCTGTAACCACATGAATTTTCTTCAGAAGGTAGTATTGGAAAATAAAATGCACATGACCTCAGTTTAACATAGCAAAAGAAAAAATAGTTCTGTTTGAGGGAAGTGCAGCACTTACGACCTCCCATAATTTCCTTAAATCTATGCAAAAATCACAACTTTTTGTTTGAACAGATTTCATCAGAGGACCATTAAGACTGTATTTTGGGGTTTGTGAGGTGGATGGGTGGGTGGGTGCCTTTCAAGATGGAAGTTAAGGAACTGATGGACCAAGAGTATCCCCGCAATATGGAAGCTTGGGGTTCAGTGCGGAGTCAAGTAGCTATGGAATATCGTGAGTATTCTGAGGAAGAATCAGATAAGCCAGTATGTTTTAGAAAGAGAAAAAGACAAGAGACAAATGAAGTAAGTATATAAAAGGCAGAAAGACTGAGAGGAAAACTTGAAGCACAGAATTGGAATAGAATAAGGAAGAAAACGGACACGGAAAAATTTTAGAAATAAACATCTCGACAGAATGCATGCCTTGGTAACTAGAGACAGAACAATTATAATGAACTGCACAATTTTGAAATGGATGTCCTATAGTCCTGGTCATAGTGTGTGTAACGTGGCCATGTGGATAGTAGGCCTCCAGTACTTACTGGTTTGGGTCACGCAATCAGAGGCACTTACTCTTGACCTTAGGAGACCCACCAGGGCTCAGGCCATGAGACTGAACTCCTTCTGCCTCATACAATCTTAACTTTCTCATTAAAGCTACAGAACTTTCCTCCATGACTACATAGATAGCAATATTCCATTATTTTTGGATTAAAAGAGAGAACTGAAAAGCAATGGTTAAGATCTTTGTGGGATCTCAAGCATATGTGAAAAGATGATTACTTTTTCTTCACTCTAGATCCACATAACTAAATAAATAAGGAAAGAAAACATGTGAAATTTAACTAGCCGCTTCATCTCTAGAGCTAACTAGAAAATAAGATCACAGATGCATATGGAAACATAGCTGTGTTTTAAAATGTTAACTATATAATACTGTCTCTTGTACAAACTTTGTTCCATTGCTCAAATTCTTGGTATTCTCTGAGCCCCTAAGAAAAGTCAAGGAGCAACAGTACACATAAAAGAATGCCAGTAACATGTTGAACTGACTCCTCTTTCAAAGATGAATAGATAACATTCTGGTGTTTGTCTTTTTTTATGTGTGTGGAATGGGGAACGAAGAAACAACGATACAGTTGGTATGTCACTAGCTGCTGCATTTTAAATTTAGTTTCTGGGAAAAAATCTTACCATGTCAAAATGAACTGAATCAATTAGATTAATTACTCCTCCAAGCTAGTAAACAGTTGTTGCTGGCTAGGTTCATGGAGCTGACCCCACCTGCTTGTGAACCCCAAGCAAATGAAACGGTGTGACTGACGCATGTCGGCCAATGGAATGGAATGGGTGCACAGAAGCAGCAGGCAACCCTGTTCTGCACAAGGACAGTCTCACACAATCATCCTTGCCTCACACACTGAGCAAGTGTTCAAAGTGCTAGAACTTCTGAGAAGGAAACATGTATCTTCAAAAGTGATTTGTTTGTAATGACTCTTACTCTGTTAGAGGCTGAGTGCTTTATATGTATCAATTAATTTAATCTCTCCAACAGTCTCTGAAATAAATAGGACTGAATATATACTCAGTGAGTCTGATTCTGGAATCTGAGCCCATCACCACAATGTTATAATGCTATTGATTCAATACACAGATTGTTTTACAAAAAATTTTATACTATGGTTAAAAAAGGCTTCTATATGGAAAAACAAGCATAATTTAATATATTCCCTATAAATTGCTGTAGACAACAGGCAGGATAGATGGAATGTGGTGCAGTAGATAAGTACAGGTAGGACATACGGCTAGTGAAATATTTCACAATCTTAGAAGTTATGGTTAGGAGCCCATAGTGATTCTTATGGAAGAAGAGAGCATATAGACCTACATCAGCTTGGTGTTGCCAAAGTCCTTTCTTTGAGCATATACTCCTGGCAGTCTAGTGGCCTGTGAAAGCCAGAGAGGCATGCCACTGACACACTAGCCCTTTGAAAAGAAGGCTGGTTGCAAAATCCTATGTTGATGTATATGCTTCCTGAGATCAACAGTCCCTACCAGGAGTCTCCAGATTGTCCCTGTCACCACCAGAATACAGCATGTGGGTGTTTCCTAATCACTTATGAGTTTTGAGTCTTAAGTATTCAGAAACTTGGACATTTCTTTAAAAACTGTTGTGCAAAGTCCTCCATCGTAAGTTTAAGACATTTTCCTTTCCTATCCTTTAGGCATTTGGTTTCTCCCATTGAACTGTTTATTGATCAAGGGAATGCGCAATGTCAAAAAGAAAAATACAATTTTTACATAAACGCACATTGAGCCAATTTTCAGTGAGCCATGTGTGACTCTCTCCAAACAGGATCATCAAAATAATGTATTCCAAAGGTATAATGGGTTGCCAAACAACAAATCTAACTTCATTTTAGAAACTGGATACAGATTTCAGTTTAAATTATTCAATTATTTCATGATTTAAAATGTGAAAATTTTTTTGTATGTTTTTGATTTGGGGTCACAGTCGGTGATGCACAGGGGTTACTCCTGGCTCATGCACTCAGGAATTACTCCTAGCGGTGCTCACGGGATCATATGGGATGTTGGGATTTGAACCCAGGTCAGCCGTGTGCAAAGCAAACACCCTACCTGTTGTGCTATCACTCCAGCCCTGTGGAAATGTTTTCAAACACAAGTTTTTTTTCATTTAGAACAGTTTATTGATTTTTGCCTCTTACTCATACTACCTAGTTCTTTAAAGAAAAAAATGCTAATCTCTGGTTTCAAATATTCCTACCAGCTTCTAGCTGTGTCCTTTCAGTTCTGTATCCAGAACTTCTGCTATGCTTATTTTAAATTTTTCTGTCATTACTGTTTGCCTTCCATATGCTATCTGATGCCAATCTGGTTCAGAACAAATGGTACATAAAACATTCTTGTTACAGAAGGAATTACCTTGCACTTCCACTCTCTCATGAGTACCTCCCTACATTGTATGCCGCTAGGTTTACTGTAAGTCACTATGGCTTTCTACTTTGAGTTTTTCTTTACCAACTAACTTCCTTGTGCTTATCCTTATTAATATGCTACTATTAATAGGGCTGGGCTATTAATAAGCTATTAATAAGTGAAATGTCCTTATATCCTTTATCCTATCCTTGCCTCCCTCCAAATTACACATTGTTGAATATTTAAGATTTTTGTTTTTGTGCTTATTTTTGGTTCTGAGAAAAACTGTAAATTCCAGACAAACTTGGGTTAGGAGAACTCAAATATAAATAACAGCTCATTCTGGCCCTCGGTGAATTTACAACCCATCAGTTTGTAGGCTACTTTAAAAGTAGAAAAGTATAATTTATATCTTATTCTTTAAAATGAGAGTATTAGTTCATATCTAATGTCTTTCCATTTTTTTCCAGTTGCACTGCCATAATGGAAAATGGTTCCCAATTTTGAATAAAGAAAAGCAATTTAATTTATATATATGACTCCACTGTCCTAGGAAAGAACACTTTTGGGTAAAATCCAGAACATAGCTGAAAAGTAAATTCTACAGCTACAGAATTAGAATCTTACTGAAACAACTTGATTGATACATTTTTAGTGCTCTTCCCTTCCATTAGCCAAACTAGACAAACCACCAAACCCAAACAAACCAAACAACAAACAAAACCAACAAGATCTAAGACAGAAATAGACAAATGGGTGTAGGCTACACATAACCATGTGAACACTGGCTAAATTCTAAAACTTAAAAATTCTTATAAAGAGATAAAATAAATGTTTTTATGCTTCATTAACATCTACTGCTAACTCTTTATATAGGGGAAGGTCTACAGCTACTCTCATCCGCCCTTGGAGGACGCTCTTTCCTACTGAGTTTGTGCTGCTGGTCTCGTCTATCAGGAGGCTAGCGCGGACACTCACAAGCTCCAGGAGGCTAGCGAGGGCACTCACCAGCTCCAGGAGGCTAGCATGGGAACTCACCAGCTCCAGGAGGCTAGCGAGGGCACTCACTAGCTCCAGAAGGCTAGCAAGGGCATTCACCAGTTCCAGGGGGCTAGCGTGGCCACTTAGCAGCCCCAGCAGGCTAATGTGGTCACTCAGCTCCAGGAGGCTAGCATGGGCACTCAGCAGCCCCAGGAGACTAACATGGACACTCACCAGCCCCAGGAGGCTAATGTGGGCACTCAGCAGCTCCAGGAGGCTAGCGAGGGCACTAACCAGTTCCAGGGAGCTAGCGTGGACACTCACAAGCTCCAGGAGGCTAGCGAGGGCACTCACCAGCTCCAGGAGGCTAGCGAGGGCACTCACCAGCTCCAGGAGGCTAGCGAGGGCACTCATCAGCTCCAGGAGGCTAGTGCGGGCACTCACCAGCTCAGAAGGCTAGCAAGGGAATTCACCAGTTCCAGGGTCTAGCGTGGGCACTTAGCAGTCCCAGCAGGCTAATGTGGGCACTCAGCTCCAGGAGTCTAGCGTGGGCACTTTCCAGCCTCAGGAGGCTAAAGTGGGCACTCACCAGCTATAGGAGGCTAGCACGGACACTCAGCAGCCCCAGGAGGCTAACGTGGACACTCACCAGCCCCAGGAGGCTAATGTGGGCACTCAGCAGCTCCAGGAGGCTAGCAAGGACACTCAGCAGCTCCAGGAGGCTAGCGTGGACACTCACCAGCCCCAGGAGGCTAATGTGGGCACTCACCAGCTCCAGGAGGCTAGAGAGGACACTCAGAAGCCCCAGGAGGCTAGTGTGGACACTCACCAGCCCCAGGAGGCTAATGTGGGCATTCAGCAGCTCAAGGAGGTTAATGTGGGCACTCAGCAGATCCAGGAGGCTCGGGAGGGCACTCACCAGCTCCAGGAGGCTAGCGAGGGCATTCAGCAGCCCCAGGAGGCTAATGTGGGATTTCAGCAGCTTCAGGAGGCTAGCGCGGTCACTCACCAGCCCCAGGAGGCTAATGTGGGCACTCAGCAGCTCCAGAAGGCTAGCGAGGACACTCAGCAGCCCCCGGAGGCTAGCGTGGACACTCACCAGCCCCAGGAGGCTAATGTGGGCACTCACCATCTCCAGGAGTCTAGAGAGGACACTCAGCAGCCCCAGGAGGCTAGTGCGGACACTCACCAGCCCCAGGAGGCTAATGTGGGCATTCAGCAGCTCAAGGAGGTTAGTGTGGGCACTCAGCAGACCCAGGAGGCTCGGGAGGACACTCACCAGCTCCAGGAGGCTAGCGAGGGCATTCAGCAGCCCCAGGAGGCTAACGTGGGAACTCAGCAGCTTCAGGAGGCTAGCGCGGGCACTCACCAGGCCCAGAGCGGCTCAACAGAGCACACGGACTCGGACTCCTGCGCCCTCCCGGGTCCACGGAGGACGCCTCGCTACGATACTTACACCGGCACGCCTACGCGCCCCAGATCCTAGCCTCCCTCTGACCGAGTCTGAGATCTAACCTTCTCTCCGACTGCTCGGCCCTGCCAGGGGGGACTCCAGACCTTCGGCGGCCGCGGCCGAGGGGCCGGCGGGCCAGGGCGCCGCGCCGCCGCCGGGCTCCTGCTCCAGCTCGGGGCTCTGCATGGAGTCGGGCACCGACTCGAAGGCGCTGTTCTCCTCGTCGTCGTCGTCCTGGGACGAGAAGACGGTGCTCTCGGAGATCTTGGCGCTGTCCACGGAGGAGAAGCGCGTGTGGCTGGCGAAGCGGCTGCCGTTGTGGCACGAGGGGCTGTAGCACGAGGCGCTGTAGCACGAGGAGCTGTAGCAGGACGTGCTGTAGCAGGACGAGCTGTGGCAGGAGGGGCTGCAGCAGGACCCGTCGCAGGCCTCGCAGCGCGGCCCCGCGCCCGGCCGCGGGCTCCAGTCGCCCTCGCCGCCCGCGCCGGCCGGCGGCTCGGCGGCCACCGTGTCGCCCTCGCTGGGCGCCTCCTTGTCGGGCGCGTCCTTGAGCGTGGGCTCGTCCTCCGGGCCGTCGTCGTCGGCGCGGGCCTGCGCCGAGGGCAGGCTGTGCAGCAGCGTGTGGATGCGCAGGTAGTGGGTGCGCGGGGTCTCGGGGTCGCCGCAGGCCGAGGCGATGACCGTCTCCAGCTCGGACACGGGCAGCGAGCAGGGCCGGCACTTCCTCTTGGCGGCGGCGCGGGCCGGCGCGTCCTGGCCGGGCCCCGGTTCCCCCTGGCCGCCCGGCTCCCCGGGCTCGGGCTCGCCGGGCTCGCGCTCCCCGGGCTCGGGCTCCCCGGGCTCGCGCTCCCCGCCCGGCTCCGCCGCGCTGCCCGGGCCGGCCCCGCCCGGCTCCTCGGCGCTCTGGGCCGGGCTCGCGGGCGGCTCCTCGGCGCCCTCGGCCGGCTGCTCGGCGGGCTCGGCCGGGCTCGCGGGCGGCGGCTCGGCGCCCTCGGCGCTCTCGGCCGGGCTCGCGGGCGGCTCCTCGGCGAGCTCCGCGCGCTCGGTCGGGGCCGCCGCCGCCTCCGCCTCCGCCTCCGCCTCCGCCTCCGCCTCCGCCTCCGCCGCCTCTGGCTCGGGCTCCCGGTCCGGCCCGGGGCCCCGCTCGGCTCCCGCCGCCTCCGCACCGCTCTCGGGGCCGCCGTTCGCCTCGGGCTCGGCGCTCAGCGATAGCTCCTCGTCATCTGCGGGCGAGAAGAGCGCGCAGGTGAGACCCCTCCCCCCGGCCAGGTGGGCGGCAGGTGACCTGATGGGCAGAATTCTGTGCGAGCGAGCGGAATTCCTGTTAGCAGACCCCCGCGGCCCCGCTGCCGCCAGCCAACCGCCAGTGCAAAGCCGGAGTCGAGGCCAGTAGGTCCGGAGAGCGCGGGGGCCGGTGGGGGGCTGAGGCTAGGGCTGGGGGACGGGGAGGGACCCTGGGGGCGGTGGGCGTGGGGCCTTGACCCAGGCTGGGGGCGTGGTGTACCGCTCTGCGACTGTAAAGCAAGGACCTCGGCGGTATGTACACTATGATCACTGTCACTGTCCTCCCGTTGTTCACTATGTCACCTCCATTAAAATTTCTTAGAATAATTCTATTTCAGGCTTCAAAGGAATTCACTCTGTGTTGACTTTTGCTTTCCAAAAATGCGGGAGTTGAGCTGCTCAGCAGTGTCTGGTATCTGGGTTCAAACTCCGGCATGAGAAGTTTCAGAAATGGGTGGGCAGTACAGTTCCCTGTTGATCACAAACGGGCTTATTCCTAAAAACGTGTACCCCAGCTGGCAGGATGGGCAACTCCGGTCTTAGGCAACCGGACGATGGTTTCAACTACCATCATTCAGTAGCTCAGGCTGGAAGGTTTCCAAAATTTAACTTAGTGAAAAGAAAAACGAGTTCTCCATACCGAGTAACTATGTAGCAGCAACTATGGTTTACTCTGCTCTCCCCCAGCTGCTCTGCTGGATACCTGTCAGGTGTGAATTTCTGATTTCAGACACTGGTCAATACACTCTTCAAATGAAAACAATCTCTCTGGTGGACTGTAAAGCAGTTCTTGATGCTACACTGAAGAGTCCATTTCATTCTTAAAATGGATACCATGAAAGGATAAGATGGGGAAGTTTCTTACACCTGCATTATATAGACTGGGCATAAAAAAGTAGAGATGGGGTTTAGCAGATAAGCAGTAATAAACTCCAGACTGTTCTCAGAAGCTCCAATAGATCTGACAGAAATTCGTAAATGCTTTGGAGCTGTTGGAGGTGCGGTGACTATATATCTAAAGCATAAGCATTAATACTTGTTATCATGCCACTTCAACTACAATAAAAATAAGCAAGCTAATAAATAAATGTGACCCAGGAGCACCAAACAATTCTCAGAGTGATCTATACTTACAGACGGGGGCTCTGAAGAAAAGCATAGTGGAATTATGAGAAGTATCATTCCTATTTAGAAATAAGGTTTCTTTGTTTGGGGACCACAACTAGCAGTCAGTGCTAAGGGGCTTGATATTTGGGGGTCACGCCTTGGTTATACTTTGGTATTATGCAGTACTAGGGTTCAAACCCAGTCCTCCGGCATGAGAAGCTTGTGTAGCAGTACAGCCCTTTGTACTGTCTATGAAAATGAGTTTTTACTACAAAAACTCAACACTGGAAGCTGTCTAATTATTATAGCTATTATTTTCCCCTAATATTATAAAATTATTGTATAATGTTGTTCTTCAACAATATGATATATCCATTTACTTAAGTTTCTCATTTATTCATTCACTTATATAAGCAATGATTATGAGTAGCTCCCATATGGGCATTATAAGAGTAAAATGACAAATTATACATGGCTTCCTACCCATGTTGGTCTCATTGCCAATTCCCATTCTACTATGTAACCCTCACCAGAATGAAAAGGAGCCTCTTAATCAAAGTAGGGGACCACAACCTGGCTTCTGTAACAGATCACTGGATTCCAGTATAGAAAACAGAATCACAAAACCTAGCACATGTCTGGAGAGAGCTATGGGTACTACATTAGAGAAAGGAACAAGGCTAGTCCAGACATGAGGTTCATGCTGAAAATACCTGGGTGGATGGAGGAAGTGATCTCAAATCGGAATTGCAGCTGTCCACTCACATGATCTGTTGGAAGCCTTCGACCAAGTGTGTAGCTGACCAATCTGTCCCTGGAAGGAAATAAGCACCATCATTCATCTGGTCAATACCTCTTCTGCTAAGGATCATGTAAATGTGCTTTCTATGTCAGTGGGTGAGAGTGGCAAGATCAGAGAGGCTAACAGGAGCTCCTAAGATGAGACAGTCCTAAGGTTAAGGTACCTATAATTGACAGCAATGAGAAGCTTCAAGTAAATCCTCATTAAATAATATAAAGCAAGTGTCTGGAAGCTATAGCTCACGGAACAAATCTGGTCTACCAACTGGCTTTTATATAGACATGAGTTTTTCATGTTTTAAAATAGTTGTAGTAGCACTGTAGCACTGTCTTCCTGTTGTTCATCGATTTGCTCAAACGGCATCAGGAACATCTCTATTGTGAGACTTGTTGCGGTTTTTGGCATATCGAATACAACACGGGTAGCTTGCCAGGCTTTGCTGTGCAGGTGGAATACCCTCGGTAGCTTGCCGGGCTCTCCGAGAGGGGCAGAGGAATTGAACCCAGGTCAGCCGCATGCAAGGCAAATGCTCTACCCGCTATGCTATCACTCCGGCCCACTTGTAGTATGTAACACATAAAAGTTATCTAAAATTAAAGTTTAAAGGCTTGGAATGCCTTCAAGAGCATTGAAGAAATAGCTAAGAGGATAAAGAACCTCCAGCTCCAGGCACATCTCTTCAATTCCACTGTTCGTCCTGCATTAACATATGCCTCAGAGACCTGAGCCCTATGAAAACAGGATGAGAATGCTATTCGGGTCTCCCAAAGAGGAATTGAAAGACCTATGCTTGAAGTAACCCACTTCACTCAAATGAGAGACAGAATGCGGAGTTCCAACCTCCATCAACGATCAAGAATCAGGGACGCTGTCTCGTTTGCCAAGGCGTTGAAAATTAGATGGACTGGACACGTAATGAGATTTGGAGATGACCGCTGGACTAGAATTGTTACTGACTGGATTCCACGGGACATCAAAAGATCGCGTGGCCACCCACCGACAAGATGGTCAGATTTCTTCATCAAGACCTTGAACGATTGGTTTGCAGCTCTTTGTGTTCATAGAATGAGCAGATGCCACTAGGCTCTACTAGCATGCGACAGGGACGAATGGAGACGTTACTGGTGCCTGCTCGAGCAAATAGATGAGTAACGGGATGTCAAGTGATCAAAATTAAAGTTTTAGTTTCCACAAATCTGTTTTATTGGAAAGGGGTCATGCATATCTACTTTCTTACTGTCTATGGCAGCTCTCACACTATCATGCCAAAGTCAGGATTGAAACAAGGAGTGAATTACCTACAAAATTGAGATATTTTCTTTTAGAGAAAGTTTCTGACTTGTTTTTTAAAACTAATCAGTCTACAAACAAACAAGGATGTGGATATCTTTTACTCACTTTTCCTGTGCAGGCAAGACTTTCCCAAATATACTCTTAATAATGACAGTTCCAGCTGCCACTGAGGCTGTTCATGCATGATGATATATATGTATATAAATATAGGTATATGCATGTGTATGAATATATGTATATGCATACATTATAAATGCATGTGCACACAGATATGTATGTGTGCATGTGCACATAAACACAATGGCTAAGAAAGGATGCTATCAAAATTGCTGCTGTCCCTGTATAATGGATCAGAAAGGCACCTGCTGCAGGTTGGAGCAGACGACTTCTGGACTGGGTTCACTGGCATGTGTCCTCAAATTACACCAATTTCAGATCCCTTATAGAGACACTGAAACTCTATGTGGACTCTAGCACTACTTCCACTACTTAAGGAATTTTCTTAGCAAATGCATCTCGAGGTTCCTCTGTGTCCCTGGTCTGAATAGTCATTGCTTCTACAGCCTTGCCCCTGTTGGGATATCTCTATCCCAACGAGGGATGGAGGTATTTTGCAGTACTGAAAAAGTGGTCTTCAAGGGCTGTGAAATGCAGCAGACATCAGAAGGAACTGCTCCCCTGACTCAAGGTATTGCCTGTTGCTCCCTAAGAAGTATGAGAAAAAGGTACTTCTAACAGCTGTTGTTGCTTCTGCTTGGACAGGGTTTAAGCACAAGCATACTTGATGTTTGTTACAGGAGGCAAGAACATTATGAAAAATCATAGTTCTGATATAGGAAACCTCTGGCTATGTCAACTGCCTGCTTTTACCTACAGGAAGAAGTAGGAGAACTGCAAAGTAGGATAATTAGATAAAGAAATAAGATAGTAGTTTTGACTTATGAAACAGTTAATCATGGAAGGGCAGGTATGTTTATTTCTGGGACTGTAGTGGGCAGAGAAGATCAGTTCATCTTAGCAGATACCACTGAATCTCTAACTTCTGTAAACAAGGAGAGGGCTTGGAGAGATAACACCAGTAACTCACTTAGTGTCCTCCAGCCCAACGCCAGGCAGAGGGTTACCAGCTGAGAGTACAGACACCGGACACGGATAAGAGAAATAAAAAGTGTGGATTAGTGGGATGGGGGGTGGGGGATGGGAGGGATACTGGGACTGGTGGGGGTGGAGAATGGGCACTGGTGGAGGGATGGGTATTCGATCATTGTATAACTGAAACCCAAGCACAAAAATTTGTAAGTCTACAACTGTACCTCATGGTGTTTCACTAATAAAAATTTAAGAAAAAAAAGTGTGGATTAACCATAAATTATCCCAAGGACTTCTGATGGTTGCAGAAGAGGACACATGGTGCTCTAGAGAGAAACCAATGAAGGTCTGAACCCTGCTGCATCTCAGCCAGTCTCTACTACTCACAAGCCTTATGCTCCTTATAATGTTTATCTATTCTAAGACTTCACTGGTTATATGGAAGAATGGTGAGAATGCTTAAAATATAAAGTTCTAGGAAGATTAAATGATGATAATCACAAGAAATACAAGTCCTATATAAATTCCAGCTATGTCCCAGGAACTGCCATACAGCATATTGGTACCTTATTTGTTTAATCATTATAGACATAAATGGAAAGTGAACAGTTCTACAGTTTGATATCTTACTGTGCTTGACACAGTACTGTAATTTCATTTGTATCAGCTCCATTTGTCTTAAAGATTGAACAGCACTGACTTCAGGTACACAGCTACTTACATACTAGATGGTACTAATTAAATCTACTTATGATGGCCATTCATTAATGCAGTGAATTCTGTTCCATTCCAATTCATTCCATTCTATTCCAGTGTCCCACTGAAAACCCCAGGAACAAGACACTAGTAAATTCTTCCACAAACTGTTCTCATCCCTTTGGCATAATCTTATTGGTTATGTTGTGTTGCATACATTTATAGCCAGAGAGCTATACCTAAATTTTTTAAATATACTTGCCACAGAGAAATGTATACTGTGATAAGGATTTTCATCTGTCAGAATTTCATTTAAGAATAAAAATGAATGGATATAATGTAAAAGACATGGAAACATTCACACTACAACTTAGTACTGAAATAAATTGTTGTTCCACTAGAATTTATAATTATAAATTTTCATACATATGATATGGTGTTTTCTGTAAAGACCAGTGCTTCTTAAAGAACTCTAACGATCCAAATTTTGTCTTGTTATGGAAATGTTGGAAATTATTACATTATAGACACTCAATAACTGTAGCACTGTAGCATTGTCCTCCCATTGCTTATCGATTTGCTTGAGTTGGCACCAGTAACATCTCCATTGTGAGACTTGTTACTGTTCTTTGGCATATCAAATATGCCACGGGGAGCTTGCCAGGCTCTGCCATGCAGGTGAGATACTCTCGGTAGCTTGCTGGGCTCTCTGAGAGGGATGGAGGAATAGAACCCAGGTTGGCCTTGTGAAAGGCAAATGCCCTAACCACTGTGATATCTCTCCAGTCCCAAAGGCATACAAAATAAATAATATTCCTTCAGGCAACCGCAAGCAAAAATCCGAGCTCGCAAAACAGTGCAGAGAAGTGATAAAGGAAGACCTCAAAGAGAGAAGAGCAGCAGTGCTGGCAGATGCAGCAAAAGCCGGGAAAAGCATTCGCAACGCCCACCTGTCCTTCGCCAACTACAAGACCAAGATGACCGCCCTCCGACATCCTGATGGATCTATCACATCTTCCAGAAGGGTAATGGAGAAGATTATCCATGACTTCTACTCGGATCTCTTCAATAGCCACTTCTACCTGCTCACATACCAAATTCCGCAAGATAAATATGTCGTTCCCTGTAAAATCTTATCACGCCGAAGGTTGTATGTTCACGGGCTCACTGGACGGCACTGTTTCACCGCCTGCGTTCTGTGCTCTTGAGCCACTGTATGTGGCCTGGATCGGAACGGCTGTTGGCCAAGGGCAGACAGAAGAAAAAACGGGGGCCAGGCCGGTCTATATCAATAGTAGTTTATTCCAATCCTCTTCACTCCTGTCTTTCTCTGCCTCCTTCTTTCCTGGGCCCCAGTCTTGGAAGCTCTCTCCTTCTGGCTCTGACTCTGGATCTCTGGAGCCCGAGCTCTCTCACTTCTGACCCCTTTTCCGAGCTTACGTCTTAGTTTATATAGCAGTCACATAAGGCGGTGACATAAAGGTGGGTTGAATACTGATGAATCAACAAAGAGAGGTAAGACCACTCCTCCAGGAGATTAACTCAAGGATAAAATCTCATCTACAGAGATTACTTCAGATTACTAGGAGATCCACCCAAGGGTGGGATCCCAACAAGGGTGTGTTCTTCCTTCAATTAGTAATCTACTTAAATAGTTGTAATAAATCTACTTCTAATATTTCTAGCAATGTCATTCTGCATGAGCACAGTAAGAGATATAAATTTAGTTTGGTTCTTCCTGAGAACATCTCACTATACATTTCGCAGTCCTCAGGCCAGGTTAATCTTCCTAGCTCCAGCAGGGTCCTAGTCTCGTCGTTACTTACTTTTGGATCATGACAGCATTTGTCCATGATCATGCCCTCAACTTATAGTTGAGTATCATGGCTCTTTGGCCTGGCCCATTTTGATGCCAGGGTAGCTCACTGCTTGCCCTGGGTCCATTCAGTCCCTCGTCGGGACCCTGCTTTTGGGGTGCTAGGAACTAAGGGCAACTGAGTCAAGAAATCAGATGCCCAGGAGTAAATATTATTCGGAGTCAATCAACTCCCAAGTTACAAAGCATAATATTAACTGTCTTCCTGTGTCCACACAGAAAGGACATTGCTTACAATACAAGTTCAGTGTTCTTAGATGGGTGTGACCTGACAAACCTAAGCTACCTGAGGAAGGACAAAAGAGTGTTATCCTACAGTTCCCAACATTCTCCCTTCCTAAATCCAACACGCCATTTCGTCGGTAAAGACGCGAACAGCACCAGGGCCAGACAAGGTTAGACCCGAACACCTGAAGAATTTGCCATCAGTACTCATCAATACACTGGCTTGGCTCTTCATACACTACCTGCCTGAATGCAAGTTTCCGCCCAACGGAAAACCAGCGGGGCTGTACTACTGTACAAGAAGGGAGACATCTACGACATTGACAACTATCACCAGATCTGCCTATTGTTTGTCACCTACAAGCTGTTCACTTGAGTCATACTGAATAGGATTAGCAGAACACTAGATGAAGGACAACCATGCGAGCAAGCCAGGTTCCGAAAAGGATTCAGCACCACTGACCATATCCACACGATAACCAAGCTATTGAGGTTTCTCGGAAGTTCAAGATGCCACTCTTTATAACATTCATTGATTTAAAGAAGGCCTTTGATTCTGTTGAGATGAAAGCAATCATCGAAGCCCTAGCCAAACAGGGCATTCAAACTCAATACATCAGGATCCTCTGTGAGCTGTATTATGGATTCACTACCAGTATTTCACCATTCTACAAAGAAGTGATCATCCATGTCAAGAGAGGGGTTCGGCAGGGTGATACCATTTTAACGAAACTGTTCAGTGCCACCCTCGAGAACATCATGTGATGACTGGAATGGGAAGGAATGGAAGTGAAGATAGGCAGTTGGCAATTACAGCACCTCTGCTTTGCTGATGACATCGTTCTCATAACACCAAACATTAGCCAAGCAGCACAAATGCTGGCCGACTTCGACTGTGAGTGTGGAAAGGTCGAACTCCAGCTAATCTCATGAAGACAATGTTAATGAGAAATGGTCTCGTTCCTGACGTTTCATTCACTCTTAACGGAACGAACATCTCCAAGTGCAATAGCTATGTGTACCTAGGTCAAGAAGTCAACATGACGAATGGCCTGGCACCTAAGTTGTGCAGGAGGAAGAGAGCAGCTTGGAATGCCTTCAAGAGCATTGAAGAAATAGCTAAGAGGATGAAGAACCTCTGGTTCCAGGAACATCTCTTCAATTCCACTGTTCTTCCTGCATTAACATACGCCTCAGAGACCTGGGACCTACAAAAACAGGATGAGGATGCTATTTGGATCTCCCAAAGAGGAATTGAAAGAGCTATGCTTGGAGTATCACACTTCACTCAAATGAGAGAAAGAATCCAGAGTTCCAACATCTGTTGACAGTCAAGAATCAGGGATGCAAAAAGTAACCAAACAAACAAACAAACAAAAAAAGAATCAGGGATGCTGTCTTGTTTGCCAAGGTGTCGAAAATCAGATGGGCTGGACTTGTAATGAGATTTGGAGACGATCACTGGACTAGAGCCGTTACTGACTGGATTCCACTGGACGTCAAAAGAGGGTGTGGCCGCCCACCTATGAGACGGTCAGACTTCTTCATCAAGACCCTGAACAATTGGTTTGAGGCTCTTCATGTTCCTAGAAAGAGCTGATGTCATTGGGCTACACTAGCATGTGACAGGGGCGAATGGAAATGTTACTGGCACCCGCTTGAGCAAACTGATGAGTAACGGGATGTCAAGTGATCAAGTGATCCTTTAGGAAAACATTTTTAGCATTTTTTCCCCATACAGATAATTGCTGCTTTGATGACACAATATTGTATCATAGGCTTTTAAAACATCTTGCATTAGTAACCAGACACATAAATAAGGGGTAAAGGAAATGTATGTTAGTTTAAATTAAAAGTTGTGGCTTAAACAACATAACTGATGGGGAAAGCCCACTGACAACAATATCACTTTAGTTTGAATCTCTGTGAGACTGTCTCACTGCAGCTGTCTTGAGCCTGTCCTGGTGAAGCCTAGTGATGCTGAGTCACAGTTTACCCTATTGCATGTCTTTCCAGGAGTCTCTGAACAGGCATCGACAGCTTTCCCAAGAAGCGCTTGATGATGGGGCGGCTCTTGGCAAACTTGTCTTTCACCTCAATTTCCAGCACATCAGTGGGCAAGGACACGAAGCTGAATTGCTGCAACGAAATGTCATATAAATTAATCAATGAGAGGTGTGAGAATTGGCTCATTTCCAGCTTCCTTGTCTTGGATGATAGCTGTATCTTAATCTAGCTCTATCTCTATATACATACCTATATTTACATATCTATTACCACTATATAGAGAAAAAATATATCAAAGTTATAGAAATACTGTGAGCTCTGCTTATTTGTTAAAATGAAGTGCTTAAAAAAATAAGGTTATTCTGTTCTTATGGACTGAACTAACAAAGTCAACTGACCTTAAAGAGTCACCTTACCTGACCTGGGGTAAGTTTCACAAATATGAATGGATTCACAATTGTGCTGTCAGGAATTCCTTACTGGAACTCTGTTAGAACTTACAAATTTTGAAATTTCCTTATATCTGTATTTATTTCAGGGGCATGTACATAAGGCAAACATCCAGAAGTGCCTCGGCTCCTGGCTCTGTTCTCTAGGGTCATTTCTAGTGGGTAACCACATGTGGTGCAAAGAATCACACCTTCTTATACTGTCTCTCGAGTTCACTGTATCTTCACTTCTAATACCCTAAGTTACACTTCAAATTCACATCCCACTCTTGCAAGCAGGAAGATAGGTGGTCTTGGTAATGTGTGTTGGGAAAAAGTATTTAAAACCTAAACCAGGGGCTGGAGTGATAGCACAGCAGGTAGGGCGTTCGCCTTGCACACAGCCAATCCTGGTTCGATTCTCAGCATCCCATATCCCATATGGTCCCCTGAGCACTGCCAGGAGTGATTCTTTTTTTTAAATTTTTTTTGGGGGGGTGTCACACCTGGTGGTGCTCATGGGTTACTCCTGGCTTTGCACTCAGGAATTACTCCTGGCAGTGCTCAGAGGACCATATGAGATGCTGGGATTTGAACCTGGGTCAGCCGCGTGCAAGGCAAACGCCCTACCTGCTGTGCTATCACTCCAGCCCCGCCCTGCCCCAGGAATGATTCTTGAATGCAGAGCCAGGAGTAACCCCTGAGCACCGCTTGGGTGTGACCCAAAAGGCAAAAAAAAAAAAAATCTAAACCAGCCCAAAGGTATGAAGACCTCTGACAAGATCTGTCTGAAACAAAGTCCATAGGAATAATATCAAAATAAGACAGTCAACTGCTCCAAGCTCTCCCCCCTTGGCAACCACCCTAGTAACAGACTAGACGAGAGCAGTTTGGGAAAACTGTATATAAACTAACTTGGAATAGAAAGAGGTACACACGTGCTTCCTGCATCTTCTCTCTTGAGATGTGGACTTTCATATTTTAATACCCATTTCCACTGTTGGGATATGTACTGGCTTTTCTACATCTTAGAGAAAAGATGTTCTATCTTGAGCATGTATCTAAATCTACTTTGCTCCTTCCCTCCCTTTTTCCCCCACTAAAGTTGTTGTACTTTACTATGAATATCCTCCTGAAGTGATTTTCTGTGAGGTAAAGGCAACCGATCCAAACTGCAAAGAGCAGTTCCTGGCTCCAGCTTGAGTCCATGGCTCCCTGAGAAATCAGGTGGCAGAGATAATGTCCCACACTGGGAAGAACACGTGGACTTCAGGTGCAACTTGACAGCCTCCTCGTGGGGCTGGCAGCACGAAAGCATCCATGCCATGCAGGGGCTCACTGCAGACTCTCATCGTCTTACTTTTCCTAGGCATAAACCTGGGTGACCGGGGTAGGTAGAGAAGGAAGCTTCAGCTTTCCCTCTCGAGGCTGCTACCACTCTTCAGCACTTCACATATGCCACCCAGGGAACCCTACTCCTCTGCTGGTGAGGTTTGGGTCTCCCACTGGCAACACCTCTCACCACAGCAATGCAATGGCAATTGAAGAGCGAGTGTACAGGGATTAAAACACTTCCGTTGTATGCTGCTAACTCCAGTTCTGATCTCAGTTCTGACCCCAGATCCTTGAGTTCTACTGGAAGTGCCCCCAAGCTCTGCTAGCTAAGGCCCAATAATCTAAATACCATCCATCACCCAGAAAAGGGCAGCTGAAGTTCTAAATTTATCTTAACATTTGATTTCTGGGTTTGTGCCCTTGGCTTTCCAGACCTTTTCCTTTTCCTATTGAAAGAGGAAGCCTCACTTTCCCCTTGACAGCTACTAAGAGCAACTCCATTTCATCCTACTTTTTCAAGCATTCCTGCAAATTCCAGGGCTTTTTCTGAGATTATGGAAGTTTATAGTTTCCCAAGGCTCTGAATTCTACCCCAGGCCTTGGGCTCATAGGAGACTAATGAGCAATACCCATGCAGATGGTTAAATATGAAACCTAAAATGTCTTAGCAGATTGAAAAAAGTGTAATCTTATTTTAGCATCACAAATGGGCCCTAAATTAATAAGACATCTGTGGGAAATAGCTGGGAATCCTCTGACATTTTGTTTGATAAGTGTGTGTTTTCAAAAAAGGCACAAAGATCCAGTTTTACTATAAAAACCCCACAAAAATAGTGAGTCAAATTTACTGAGTTCTATCGCTTTTCCTCATCTGGGGAGGTGTATATATATATATATATATATATATATATATATATATACACTTTTCAGTAAGCTGTTATATCTTCCTAACGCTGGGTCTGAGCATTACTATTCAATATTTTCAAGAATAAAACCATAAGAAACTGGGAGCCATGGACCAACAAAGAGGCCACTACCACTGCTGCTGCATTTCTACTCCACAAGACTGACCACGGTCTACATCCCTGGCCACTACATTTCACATAATCTCACCTCATAGTTATATAATTCACTATAAAGACTATACATCTTTATATCATGCACAATTGGACACAATGAAGGAGGCAGGTAGACGTGAGGATGCCTGGCAATGAGTTCTTGGGAATTAATAAAACCAAGATGGGATTTAAAGAAGTTACTCTGTCACTAACCCTAAAGCACTGAAAAGCATTATGGCCTGACAGACTTTGTGGACACAGGAACTGAGGGCTCATAAGACCCTTAACTGGAACCAGCACGGGATCCAGGAACAAAGGGTTATGATAAGGACATGAGTTGTGGACCAAGTTATAAGCACTTCCTCTTGGTAACACCATAGAAAGGACTCTATTTCCACAGAAAGTCCCATGGGTGGGGACGGGGTCTACAGTTTGGAAGAAAAACACATGAAACCAACTTTGAAAAAGCAAGTGTATGCTTCCTACCATTCTGGGTGGTAGCCCGCATCCAGCACCTGATGTGCTCTCTCCCCTTTGGAGATCCAGCGTTCTCTCTTGAATGTTCTCTCGTTCTCTCTCTCTCTCTCTCTCTCTCTCTCTCTCTCTCTCTCTCTCTTCTCTCAATCTCACTCTCTCTCTTTCCCTCCTTATAAGCTTTTTAATTTACTATTTGCCTCCTTTTGAAAATTTTTTTGTGGGTAACAGTCCTCCTAATGAAACCCCAAGGTTAGGATAGTCCCGAGTTTAGGTCTTTCAGAATAAAAGAAGGCAAACAAATATGCACCCACAGGCAAGCAAACATGAATGGGACAAATAGAATAGATTAGGATCTTTTTGATGTAGAAGGCAACACCGGTAAAAGAAAAGGAAATTGATTGGCTGTGTGAAGTATCCTCGCCTCTGCTCTGAATGTACCAACTGAATTTTGATGTACTTACCAACTGTCCGAAGTATCACTGTCAATTTAAACAGTGACTTGCAGGGTGGGGTTGAGATTGATTAAATAAATGGCCAGCCTGTGTGCTCACTAATGACAATTTAGGTGACCCTAAAGCTTGGACAGTCCTTGGTGTGTATGTGTGTTTGTTTATCTCATTCTCTGTGACTAGCCAAGCAGGACAGGGGTTTAAAAAACTTCAGTAGAGTTCATAACATTGTGATCACCCCAATGTAACACAGAGAATATGAAGAAAACACCACAGAGAAATGACCTGTGAAGTTTGCCAAAAAGTGTGAAGTTAGGGGTGCCACCAGATCTTAGATATTTATCTCAAGGTGAGAAAGTGAAGCTATATGGACAGGGTTCATAACCACAGAAGAAAGGAGCTAAAAAGGTCAGCAAGAAATGGAAAACTCATTGAGCTGAGCTTAGAGCAAGAATGTTTGAGTACTTCAGGCTCTTGGCACTGCTTCTGGGGCTGATATTCAGACTATCACATCATTATAATTATTATCTATTCAACAGTACTGCCCTTGGTTTCCAGATCATGGCAGCTTTGAACTACAAATCTGGGAAAGACTAGGATGTACTTTGAAGAAAAATACATACCAAAATGGGAGATTTTGCCCCTGAAGTTATGTTAACTTGGTCCTTAATAAGAATGACTTTTCTGAGATCACATGTCCTCTCCCAGAAGGGAGCATAACATGACACTTGCCATAACCATGCCACCAAACCCCACGCCAGGTTGTTTCACTCAGGGTGCCCCGGAGGGGGGCAGGTGACACTTCCCTGTCCCAAGGGACCCAGCCCCAGCAGCCGAAAACCTCCAGAACCCAGCCGCCACCATGCTCACAGCTGCTCTCTACACTCTGGGGCCGAGCCTCACCCATGAGTGAATCTCCGGTAAAACCCAGGTATGCGGGACTATGTGAATGAGAACTCTGGGTTCAGCAGGATGGGAATGGAGATCCTCCACCCATACCCCGTCTCTGCAACTCAGCAGTCAAGCCCATAAGCCACCTCTGGCTGGTGCCAGATAATCTTGTCATCGGCCACCATCCAGATTGCATGTCCTTCTCTCCTGGAAGGAAGCATAACATGATGCTCGCCATAACCATGGCACCAGACCCTGGACCAGGCTGATCCACTTGAGGTGCCCCGGGGGGGGGGGGGGCTGGTGAGACCCCGTCCCGCCCCAAGGGACCCAGCCCTGGCAGCCGAAAACCTCCAGAACCCAGCCACTGCCATGTCACAGCCACTCTCTATGAATCTATTTCTGGACCACGCGGCCACATTCATGGCTGCACAATACTTCAAACCATACACCCTACCCACACCCCAAGATTACCACACCACATTTGATAGGGTCAAAGTAGGAGGCAACCAATCTTAGAGGGAAATATACATTTTTACCGATATACATATATATATACATAAATATGTGTGTATATATGTGTATATATATATATATGTATGTATAAAGCACACAAGGCACAGCCTTTAACATATTGGTGATCTCTTATAGAAGGGCTTAATGATCCCTCAGTGAAATACAACAATCTCCACTTTCTTCTTCTAAGGATACTTTTTTGTAGTATTTTCAGCGGTTTTTCATAACAAACAATACAAAATATACTATTTCAGTTCTGCTTTGGGTCAGGGATTGGAGTTTGGGATGGAAACATTGGAAATATGGTGGTGGGAAAGTGTAATGGTGATGGGGTTGGTGTTTGAATATTAAATGTAATAAAATGTTGTGAACTATTTTATAAAAAATTTTTAAAAGGAAAAAAAGAATGACTTTTCTCCCAATAAATGGGCGAATCCAAGAGGAAGGTGAAGTGGCTCCAGAAGATGATGAAGATATGACTTGATGATGAGTATCATAAGACTGCAGCAGATGATGTGGTGAACCCAAGCAAAACAGTGCTTGAGAATGAGAAGGACTAGAGATAATAGCCAACCTTTTGGGGCAGACCTTAGTGATCCAAATCCTGCAGTGGCATTGCCTACTCCCCCCTCTTTTGTTTCAGGGCCTGGGGAAGAAGGCCATTTATCCCATTTTCTGAATAGGCAAGGAGTTTTCCATTTCTATCATACTTGGATAAGCATTAATTTGAGTGTACTCCTTTTCTACATCTCAGACATATTCCTGAGGATTCCCTGATTTCTTTACGTAAGGGTCCAGACCTGCATTCTGATTCCCAAAGGCCAGTTTTTCCACAATTAAAGCATTTCTATCTACCACTCCCTTGTATCACTACTGCCAGCAGCCAGGTCTTGTGATTTTCACTTCCCATGTTTTTACAAACCTTAATGAAATCGGACATTGTCCCCATAACATCTCCTGTGTCCTACGTGGAGTGGATTCCTCTGAAAATGATTCTGAAGTTTTCACTGATATTTTCCATACACAATAATAAAAATTAATGCCTCAGCAGTCTCCTGATTCTCTACCTAGCTATGTTATCCATTTTAAAGCTCTCATGAGTCTTATACTCTTTTTTTTGGGGGGGAGGGAGGAGTTGGGTCACACCCAGTGATGCTCAGGTCTTACTCCTTCATTCAAAGTTGTTTTTCAGAGATAGCAGGCAAGTCTTCCTCTAGATTAGAGTCAAATGATTCCAAACTCACACAGATGTAACCAGGTCACAGAATATTTTACACCCAGTAAAGGAACTATGGATTTCACATTTGGGTGTCAGGCAAGTAGTGTAATTAAGGTACTCAATATACAGTTTTCCAACTCATAAAGGTAAAGGTAAAGGCCCTCCCGTTGTTCATCGATTTGCTCGAGTGGGCCCAGTAACGTCTCCATTGGAGATTTTGTTGTTACTGTGTTTGGCATATCGAATACATCACGGGTGGCTTGCTTGAATAAAACCACTATTTTATTCGACTATTTAACTTGATAAGTAAGTTGTTCTCAACCTTAATATTTTCATAAATATGTGAAAAACAATTAAACATTGCCTTTAATCAACACAGCAGAGAGAATGGAGGAGTTCAGAGTTTAAGATTTGGGGCTAGAGTGATAGTCCAGTGGGGAGGGCGTTTGCCTTGCACACAGCTGACCCAGGTTTGATTGCCAGTATCCCATACGGTCCCCAAGCAACCCCAGGAATAATTTATAAGTGCAGAGTCAGGAGTAAGCCCTGAGCACCGCTGGGTGTGACCCAAAAAGCCAAAAAAAAAAAAGAGCAAAAGATTCATGAGAGTTTTCCAGAATATTTCCAAAGCATAATAAAAATCAAATATTTAGAAATCATTTTAAAATGTAGAGTATGCCCTTGTTTACATTTTATCCAACTAATTCTGGTAAAACTGGATTTTAAAAATGATTTTTGAGATTTATAATATTTTTATGACTGAATGTCTTAGAACAAGTTGCTCTAAATTTATTCAAAAGAGACATCTCATTTCCCAATATATTATAAATTTCCTTGACATCTTTCATTATGTTTAGGAATACAATAATGAGTCCATAAATAACTGACTTAACTTGGAACTGAAGAACAAATATTTTAAGATTAATTATCCCACTAAATGCACAATCAACACTTTTGAATAAGGAAATAACCAAAATAGTGAGTTTAAATACAACCTTATTTCCCTCATGTACATTTAAAAGCTCTAATCTGGCCCTTTTGAAAAGTCTGAGTAAGGTTTAATTAATTCTAGTAAGCAGCTAGTACAATTTAAAGAGATAATGAAAAGACTGTTTAAAAGTCTGTATCAGAGTCAGAAGTCTGTATCAGAGATAATCTACTTGAAAGTCTGTATCAGAGATAATCTACTTTGAGGAACAGAGGCACGATCCCCGCCCAGAGTGAGTTACTCATCTCTGAGTGGCACATTTTCATCCAAATATCTAAAGTAATAATCTGAAGCTCAGATTGAGGATAATTGATTTGTCAAAGTTAGAGAACTCATAAACAGACAAGCCAGGATTTAAACCAAGATTTATGACAATATTTATCTACATTTTTAATCATATGTCATAGTGTGGTCACTGATACACCATAACCCCCCATTCTCTCCAGTTCCCACAGTTTATAGATTATATTCTCAAATTTAAGCATAAATTAAGGATTGAATCAATCCTTGAGCCAAAAGGATTGATTATGACAATTTTCTGCTCTTGATGAGAGTACTGTTCATTCTAAGTCTGAACGTAACTCATGGCTTTGTTGAGAAAACTTCTAGTTTCTGCCTGGACTTTGAGACACATTTAGGAGTGGCAAAGGACCACTGTTAGTCAAAACAAACAAACCCCAACCATTCAATATTCTAGAAAGGTTTGTCTAGTGCTGTGAAAACAATGACCATGGGAATAATTAGGCATCAAATCTATTTAAGTGAAACAAACTATAACCTCTAGGGATATTCTTTTTTGGGGGGAAGCACACCTAGCAGTGCTCATATTACTCCTGACTCTGTGTTCAGGGATCAATGGCAAGGTTCAAAAAATATATGGATGCTGGGGTTTAATCCTAGATGGTCACAGTCCTCCTGTTGTTCATCGATTTGTTCGAGCGGGCCCAGTAACGTCTCCATTGTGAGACTTGTTGTTACCGTGTTGTTATTCGATATACCATGGCATATAGAATACGCCACAGGGAGCTTGCCAGGCTCTGCCATGCGGATGGGATACTCTCGGTAGCTTGCCGGGCTCTCCAAGAGGAGTGGAGGAATCGAACCCGGGTCACCTGGGTTAGCCGCATGCAAGGCAAACACTCTACCCACTGTGCTATCGCTCCACAATTCACAAGCAAGGCAAATGTCCTACACTCTGTACTATCAGTCTGACCCCAAATTCCAGAGATATTCTAGCATTTATTGATTTCCATAACCTGGAAGCTAAACAGTTTTAGAATTTCTAGAACTGATCCAGAAGAATACATTTACAATCTGGCCCTTTATTTGAGTAGAATGTGAGAGCATTTAGATTAAAATGTCTTGCTTCCTTTTCCTACAAAAATAAGAGCTATCCTTCATTGAGGCACAGCTTCTGTATCAAGATAAAGAATCTATATGCTTTCTCTGTAGCTGCAATGAATAGCTTCTCGTTATCTCCTTGAGGGACTAGATCAAGATTTCTGAGTGCAAACCATGCAGAATATGGCTCCATTTAAAGACTAATAGAAATGCAAAACCTGAGTTTAAAAATAACAGGGTCATGAATAGGGTGCTTCATGGTCATGATTTCACTTTGTCACGTATGATTCTTCTCAAGGTTCACAGAACTCACCTCAGCCTGCCAAATGGGGTTCACAGTGTTGCCTATGATCTTCGATCTCCTCTCCTGCCCGTGGTGAGGGAGGGCAGGGAAGATGCTGTGCTTCCCAGGTTGAATGGAAATCTTCAAGTAAGGGTCTGGGTTGAAAAACATCCCCTTCTTTAGTCCCATAGCTTGGAAATCTATAAAAGAGAGGATTCAGTCAATTAAATGTGTTTTAGTGTAATTTAAGATCACATCAGGCCTGACTCACAGAAGTCCATCAAAACCTGGAAATGTATTTTTTCACCTCATTTGAACAGAACGGTGTGTAGTAAATAACTTAAGGTTTCTATTCTTATAATTAATCAATACAACTGACTTAGTGGTCACTATGAAAATCAACTGAGGATCTTTGGTCCCTTACTAAAATGGATCATCACTGTCCCTAATACAGATAAAGATGGTGTAAGAGGTTGAGTGTAACCTCAAGAGAATTACATGGAAATCTGATGGTTCTAGGTAAAAGTTTCAGACTAAATAACCTTTAAAATAAATATTAATCTTGAGGAAATGCCTAGACACTGAATTTTCCCAGATCCACAGCTCCTGGAGCACATGGCCACATGTATGTCCTCATTTCGTCTCCAAATTTCACAGTACTGATAATACCCCAGCAGAAGGATAAGAAATTTGATGGGAAAGTTGTGTAGAGGCCCAGTAAGCTCAATAAGTGAAAATAAGAACACAGAGGGCTCAACCAAGACAACCAGCTTGTAAATTCTCAGACAATGTCTTCAGTAACAGCACTGTAAGATATAAAAATGTCACAAATTTTCTTTTAGTAACATATTTTGGAGGGGAGCGGGTTGAGCTTTCCTCCCCGCCCCGACCAGGGCTCCGGCAGCCGAAGACCTCCAGGACCAGCCATCACCATGCTGAGACCACTCTCCGCACACATGAAGGTACTGGCAGAGGGACAAAGCCACGCGGGTTCCGGGGCCGAGATCTCCAAGCCTACTCGGATTGGAGTTGAGCATCCTCCACCCAGATCCTCCAAATTCCAGTAGGCGGGGGTCACACCCACCACCTGGCCCCCTGGCGCCGTGTAATTCCATCAGCAGCCAAGACTCAGAGACTATAAAATCTAGTTCCCAGAACCGTGCAGCCGCAAATGCAGCCACGCGACATCTTATCAAGACATCTTTTTATGACATCTTATCATCTCATTCCTACTTTGGACAAACTTGCAGGCTATCGAATGTAGCCTGCCCACAGGGCAGAGTCTGGCAAACTCCCCGTGGCGTACCAAATATGCCAAATACCAGTAACAATGATGGGTCTCATTCTCCTAAAGAGCCTTGAATATAATCTCAGGGTTAGGATGAAAGAGACGTTACTGGGGCCTGCTCGAGGCAATCAATGAATAATAACATATTTTTAATAATTTCATTTGCCATTTTGTTATAAAAGCAATATGAAGTAAATCATGCTGTGCCTGCTAAGTGGTCAGGCTTGGGAGTGAGTGGAAAACTGGGGACATTGGTGAAGGAAAGATCACACTGCTGGTGGGACTGGTGTTGGGAAACAAATAAAAGATATGGAAGGACACTGCATACTGACCAAGGAAACAACAGATCACAAGACTTTAACTCTCACCAACATATGAAGGAACAGAAATGTTTATAAAGCAACTAATAAAAGAACTAAGAAATACACTGATGGAAGCACAATGGTAGAGGGAGATTCAATACTCCAATCTCATCATTGGACAGAACAGCAAGGAAAAACATTAAGAAAGAAGAAAAATCTAAATTAAGAACAGTAATATCTGGGTCTTTTTTTTATGACATCTTATTATCTCATTCCTACTTTGGACAAACTTGCAGGCTATCGAATGTAGCCTGCCCACAGGGCAGAGTCTGGCAAACTCCCCGTGGCGTACCAAATATGCCAAATACCAGTAACAATGATGGGTCTCATTCTCCTAAAGAGCCGTGAATATAATCTCAGGGCTAGGATGAAAGAGACGTTACTGGGGCCTGCTCGAGGCAATCGACGATTAACAGGATGATGAAATGAAAAAAAAAAAATATCTGGGTCTAATAGACGTGTTCAGGACCCACCACTGTGTAAACTCACACAAATAGGGGGCACGGCACCCACAGCGGCGGTGGCTCTATCTCTCCCGCCGCCCGCGTTCGGTAGTCTCACCCTTCTTCCACCCCAGAGAGGTCGATGGCGATGGTCAGGCGGAGGAAGGAACAAGGGCCAGGCTGGTAGGTATTAGTTGTAGTTTATTTCATTCCTCTCTCCATCTACCCCAGTCTCTCTTGTCTGCCTCTGCTTCTGTCTCTGCTCTCTCTCCTTCTGTCTCTGCTCCCGTCTCTGCTCCCCTCTGCCCAATCTACAGTCTCATTATTTTTAAGTGATATCGAAGGAAGGCTCTTATTTTAATTTTTTTTTCTTTTTGGGTGGTTGGAGGCTCGTGCCGGCCCAGGGACGCCAGATGTGTAAACTCACACATAGAGGGGGCATTGCACCCACAGCGGCGGTGGCTCTATCTCTCCCACCGCCCGCGTTCGGTAGTCTCACCCTTCTCCCAACCAGGAGAGGTCGATGGCGATGGTCAGGCGGAGGAAGGAATGAGGGCCAGGCTGGTAGGTATTAGTCGTAGTTTATTTCATTCCTCTCTCCATCTACCCCAGTCTCTCTTGTCTGTCTCTCCTTCTGTCTCTGCTCCCGTCTCTGCTCTGCTCTGCCCAATCTACAGTCTCATTATATCTCTCTCCAAGAGGAATTGGGGAAACAATTACACATAGGTGCGGTCACAATCAATAGGCGTAGAAATCAATAGGGGTAGAAATCTTAGCCTCAGGGAAGGCCATTCCTAGGACAGATCCTTCCTCAGCAGGAGGACCCACCCTAGAGCAGAATCCCATGGGTGTGCCTCTCCTCTCCTTGTCCGACAAGCATATAAGCATATATAATATAAATCATTTTGTATGGATACAGTAAGAAATATCTTAAACTTATAGAATTGCTCTCCTAGGGCCATCTCGATCTCAGACTACAGTGCTCAGGCCAGATAGTCTTTCCCACCCCTAGCAGGATCCTAGTCTTGTTGTTACCTTTGGATCATTACAGCATCTGTTTATGATCAAACTCTTAACTTATAGTTAAGAATCGTGGCACTTTGGCCTGGCCCATTTCGCTGCCAGGGTAGCTCACCGCTTGCCCTGGGTCCATTCAGTCCCTCGTCGGGACCCTGCTTTGGGGTGTTAGGAACTAAGGGCAACTGAGGCTTAAGTCGAGAAAGCAGATGCCCGGGAGTGAATAATATTCAAGGCCAATCAAATCCTAAGTTACAAAGCATAATGTTAACGGTCTTCCTGTATCTATACAAAAAGGATATTACCTTAAAGTAAACTGTTCATAAGGCATAAGGAGAGGAGAAAGGCAATATTTCACTCATACATATAAAATCATAGATTTCTGGGAAACTGATCTTACAAATTAACAAAGTCTGATTAAGGGGAAAGCTGATTAACTGGGTGGGAAGGAGAGCATAGGGAAGACTGTTTACAGATAAACACAATGGAAGTGGAAGTGCTTCAGGAGCACTGTGATGGGTGTAACCAGATTGATGGGTGTAACCACATTAATGGGTGTAACCAGATAAACCTAAGCTTCTTGTGGAAGGACAAAGCAATGTTACCCTACACACCACCCCCCAAAACTGGATACATATTCTTCTCCATGGCACATGCAACATTCTCTAAGATAAATGTATAAATGTATCACATGCTGATACACAACTTGAAAATCACAGAAACAGGAATCATATCAAGTATCTTCTCAGACTCTAAAGTCAGAATTTTATTGTTGTAGAAATCAACAATAAAAAGAAAGTGACAAAACACTAAATACTTGCAAATTAAAAAAATACTACTAAATAACAATTGGGTCAAAGACAAAATTTAAAATAAAATCAAAAGATTACTGTAAAAAAACGAGAATGTAGACACCAACTACCAGAATCTATGGGACACAGCAAAAGTTGCACTGAGAGAAAAATTTGCAACTACTTAAGGGCAAACCAGGTTAAAAAAAGGGCTCAAAACAGCAAGCTAACCAGTCAGCTAGAATAACTAGAAAAAAGAACAACAAATAAATTCCAAAGCAATAGAAGGTAGGCTACGAAGAAAATTAGAGCATAAATAAACAATATAGAAAATAAGAAAACAGTACAAAGGGTCAATGAATTCAGGAGTTGACTCTTTGAAAGAGTAAACAAACTTTTAAAAAAAGAACACTGAAAAAAAAAGAAGATAAAAAACAAAATAGGATCAGCAATTACAGGGAAGAAATCAAATCAGAAATCAAAACCTCAGAAATACAAAAATCATAAGGTCTCTCTGAACAACTGTATGCTACCAATGTTAAGAAATTAAAGAAACTGATGGGTTCTTACAATAATACAAACTCCCAAGACTGAACCAAGAGTAAACAGAAAACATGAATAGACCAATATTGACTAAAGAAATTGAAACTAATTAAAAATATTTCCAAGAACAGAATCACAGACCCAGATGTATTCACAAGTGAGTTCTCCCAAAATGTCAGACATAATGGCCTTACTCCTCAAGCTCATCCAAAATATTTAGGGTATAAGAATCTCCCAAATAGCTTTTATGAAGCAAATATTACATGGATACCTACAATAGAGATGCTACTAAAAAAAGAAAATTACAGATCAATATTCTAATTAACATAGATGCAAAATCCTCAACAAAAGTTTAGATTACTGAATTCAGCAATATATAAAAAATATGCACCATGATCAAGGGGGGGTTCATTTCAAGGATATAAGGATGGTCCAATATACTCAAATTAATTAATAAACCATATCAACCAAAATAAAGTTAAAAACCAAATGGTCATATCAATTGATGCACAGAGGCTTCTGACAAGATCCAACACTTCTGTATGATAAAAATACCCTCAAAAATAAAAAATGGAAGGAACATACCTCAAGATAGTAATGGCCATCTACAACAAACCCATAGTGAATATCATAGTCAATGGAAAATTGAATGCCTTTCCCCTGAAATCAGGCACAAGACAAAGGTGGACACTGTCACTACCTCTTAATTTTTATTTCCCTGGTGTATCTTTTCAAACCTTTATTTGTCATTTGTAT